TGGTAGTTACTTTAAATCTTCTAATCTTAGGCACAGGAGCAGAGAAGGCTGGGCCTTGAATGTGTTAACTTTTTTTAATATTAGTGCTGCTTTTCTTCCAAGATGACTCTTGCCACTTGGAATAATAAAAAAGAAACTCTCTAGGATTTCTTGGAGTGGGAAGGCAGTGTACAATGCTTATTCTACTGAATGTTTGTGATTGTAGGTCCTCGTCATAACTGCTTTTTAAATAAGTCTTTTGAAGTATTAATTCAGCTGCCTATTTAGTTTTGGAGGCAGTGGTCTGCTCTTGCTCTTGTAATGCAATATCTATAGAAAATACCTTGATGCTTACAAATGAGCACTGTAAAGAACCCATATTTGATCTGTATGTGAACTACCTGAAGTATCAAATCATAACTGGATAATTTGTGACAAGAACTCAGTGGTTCTGTGGATTTACTTTTTGTACCTGTCTAATAAACACTTGTTCTTTCTTGCAGGGCTATGGAAAAGCAGATCATTCAGTGACTGTAGAGATACTGAAAAAAACATACACAGATTATGAAATTACATGGTCAGATGACAAGAAATAAATCTATGAACACAACAAGCACTTCAAAACTGGTAACTCTGTGAGCTGTACTTTGACAAATAGTGTCTTCTATATGTTACCATAAATCTGGAGTAACTAGACTCTGCTGTAACTTTTACCTGGGAATTAATAACAATATTGTATCTTATTTCTCAGATTGTTCCTTTTTGTAGTTCTAAGCTTTTTTTCCTCTCCTTTTAGCATGCCATCTAATTAAACACTCCCACATCATCTTGCCTCCTGCTTGTTTTCATCCAGTCCTGTCTCACTGATATTTTAGGATGCATCAGGATTTTACCATCAACTTAATACCACAGAACCAAACTTGTCCCCTGGTCTTTTGTCCATAGTGTTGTCTATTTCTTTTATTTCCTATTATTCTTTAAGCTTTCCAACTTACCTGCATTTTGGAAGGGGGGATTGACTGCTACAGTTCTTCACCAATGATCTAAATATTTTATTTACTCAATGGTTTTGAAAATTGAGTATTTGTGTTCCACACAAGTAATGATCAAGATCTTTTGTGTTCCTCTAAGATCCTTCCCTATAACAGGCTGATGGTAATGTCAAATCCTGACACTGCTTGTTTCATTCTGATTCCCCTGTAATGTACAGGGATGCTTTTTTCTTTTTTTAATGGCAATAATTATCTTTTAGCTAACTACCTCCCTGCCAGACCCAGTACACCTAGGCAGTGTCTGAATTAACTTACGGCATTTGCTTCCTGCTGTTGTGGCAGGATGTTGCCCTTCATTTGGTGTGAAGTTGCCTGCTACAATTTTCACTTTTTTGGTTCCTTTCAGTCTTCTCTTGGATGCTGTTGTGGATTTCAAGGCAGCACTTTTTGTTCTTATGCTTATATTGCTGACTTGCAGACTTCAACGGGTATTTGTATATAAATCCTGGTTCTTCTCTCTGCTGTGCTTCCTAATTGCACTTACCTACCAGTATGTGGTGGTATCTAGTAGCTTTTTTCTTTTCAGTGTGCAATAAGTACAAACAGTATGAAATATGAGAGGCTTTAGTCCAGTTTCTATCACAAAAAGCCCTGCTGTTATTCCATTATTACAGGAATTACCCATTTTATGTCACCTTTCTGTATCTTTGGGCAGAGTGGGATTTCCTCTTCGCATCCTCAGACCTCTTTCAGTCTGTTCCTTGTATCTCCATCCCAATAATCACGTGAGCAGCATCTCTTGAACCTGGTGCTACAGGTCTCTTGGTTGGCACCTGCTTCCCCTGACATGCAGCCTGAACTTTCCCCCCTGGTGCCCCTATGAGCTTTTGCATCTGCCCTTTGTGCTTCTCCTTATGATCCTGTGCAAGTTATCTGGCTGCACCACTGTCAATGCTGTGATAACACTGCAGGTTTGATTTGGCTTAACCAAGAATAGCATACAAGTCAATAACTTGTAAATTGGGCACTTCCCAGTTTTCCTTATGGATTTTTTCCCCTAAGCTTTAGTAAAATAACTGTAACTGATGCTCTTTAATTGGTGCCAGTATACAAACCTGGGGTTTTTAATAGCTTCACTTCCCGAAACTAGCAAATAGGCTTCAAAAGGAAGTCATCAGTTTAGGCTAGTGCCTGTTAAAACAAACAAGCTTTTTAATTTGGTTTCCTGAGGTGTTTTATGACTGATTTTAATGTTTCTCTCCACAATACTTACGGGAAAGTCATAATTTAGACCGGATTTCTTATTGTGATGACTTTCCCAAGAAGTGAATGGATGAGGTGTGGGGGGGGGGGAAGTGGTGATTATTTGGAATGAGGTAATAAATTGAGTTACCAGCTGTTTTCTACCTTTGTTTCTTCATACAAAAAAATGGAGCTTGATGGTAAGCGTTTGTTGCACTGTCAAAAAAAAACAACTTTGAGGGTTCTCAATTATCTTATTTTTTAGTGCAGTGTCATTTGGGGAAATGCTGATTTCCCTAGCTATTAAGTAATATGTGCAAGTATTAGAAGTGAGTGACAAATTTTTATTCCATATCATGAAGACAACCAGGAAACTGCACACTGGTGTGGTGATGATGTGGTAGGTAGAGAAAGCTGCAGTGTACAACAGTATTTGATGTTGAAATGCCAACAAAAACAACCACCCAAGAAAACTTAGTGTTGAATTCTGCTTCCTCTCAGTATAGACCTGCTGACTTTTAAAAGTACTATAGAACAGATCTGGAATTGCAGAAATCCCAATGTTAATTTTGCTGGTTTCACCTGTGAGAAACATTTGTTATTCTCATCTTTAATTTTGAAATGGAGCTTAATCTTGCAAAGGATTTCCTGTTTTGCAGGTATCTTATCACTGATTGTGGCTCTAGCAGTCTTCCCTTGAAAGTCCTAAAAAATCTGTTTGAGCAATCCAAGAATAAAATAAGGATGCTGAGCACAGGAATAGTATATTGAACCCAAGACAGTGAGTTTGACAGTGGAATATTTTCAAGAGGAAGCATTATGGTAGAAGATTGTAAGTGCTGCCTTTAGTAATAAAAAATAAGAGATTCTTGTTCTTAACCATATTCATTGTCATAGTGGTCAAGATTTCTTATGACTTCAGGTACTATTTTCTGAAGCAGCACCAGACAGCAGATGTAGAACAAGTTGTTCAGTCACTCTGCAAGTCACCTTAAAACTGAGGTTTGAAAAATGGCAAGTGGTTGTCATTTTATTTCCAGCTTCCTAGTTTTGACAAAAAAGAACTGTTAACAGTACTTGCTGATCTGCCAAGGCTAAAACTTCATTTTGTCCCTCCATCTGTAGTCACAGTTATCTATCATCAATTAATTTCAAATTGACATAGAAAAATTCCAAAGCGCAATCACAGCTATGGCACAACTGACAGTTTCCCCCCCCTCACTTCTATAAAAGAGCAACTTTAGTAGTTTCCAAAGCATCCCTTTAAAATAGTCTGCTTACAGCTGGGTTTGAAGCAACAGTGTTGTTAAGGCTCTTCTATGGCTCTATTTTAATAGCAACACAGTCAAAATAGGAATCTTGCAGTTGACTTTCATAGCCTTCGATGATGGGAACTTGATGCAATAATTAGTGATTTAGGTCTCTGCTGTAATAAGTTTATTTCCAGCCCCTCAGACTTGTCTTTTCTCCCCTTACACTGTATCCATTTTACTGTCTCTGAATTTCTATTTCTGCAAGGGCACCCACTGAATTACTGCTGTTAAGGCAGTAGCTTTGATGTGCCTTTTAAATAGATCTTTGTCCAGTTTGAGCAAAGACAAAACATGCAGTAGGGCTTTTTTTGTGTGAACTGTTGGTGATACCATGTGCTTGGGACCAGGTGTTGCCGTTCTTTGGGTTTGTTTGCATTTTTGGTAAGCCAGTTTCTTCAGCAACATCACTATCTTCAGCCTAGCACACAGGAGTCACTTTACACAGGTTTTTCTGAATGCTTGCTGCTCTGCCAAACTGTGGAAAAGATGGGAGAGGTATGATAGCATTCAGTGGTACTCTCTGGCAAGTTTTGAAAATTGGTCACTGTGGGCAGTTAACTTCTGGAAAAATCTTGCAAAAAGAACCAAAACAAAACCCCAAAGCAAGAGAAACCAAACCAAAGAACTGAGGTTTGGCACTCCAGCTGGCAATCTGTGTATCTCCTTTCTAGTTGTCACCTCAAGCTCAGTTCTGTCATCCTCCCATTTCCTGGATTGCATTTATAAGTTTATTGGTTAGTTGGTTTAAGGAACTTGTCTTGTGTAACATCTTCTTTCAACTCAGCTTCTAAATCAGAAATCGGTTTCAATAGTTTCTAAAAAAATACTGCTATTTCCAATTCCTGAAATTTTCAGAAGATTGATATGTCAAAATGTGAAAATTCAAACACCAGTGAATATTCTCTGGTCCACTTTTTCGTAGCCTCGAATAAAAGCCATGCATGCACGACATATGGAAATATTACAAATACTTTAGAGATGCAAGTCAAAGAGAACATGAGGGAAAAATACAATCGCATCCCCCTCTGGTGGCAAAGCAGCAAAGCACGCGGGTGTGAGGTCGATGGGAAATCTGCTGCAGTTAAATCATGTCTGAGTTGGGAGCCTGACCCTGGAGAACCACTTCTTGCACTGCGGTAGGAGGGTAAATTACCTTGTTCAGGCTTGCACTCAGCAGCTGCTCCAGTTCTGGCACTGCTGAAGAATGGGAGAAGGGGTCTGGGAACAGTGACCTGCTTATTTTTTTAAATACATACAAGTGAAAATTAATCGGTGGTTTAAGCAGAACTCACTTTTTTCTATGCAAAAACATAATCAGAAGACTCCTTCAGTTCTAGTCAGACATCAGAATTTGTCAAACATTTCAATAAGTAGTAAAAAGCATCTTTAATTTGTCAATCCACAATAACTTGACAAAGCAGAGGTAAGAGGATTACAACATTTAAGATATTTTTGAAGGACTAGTGGTTGAATTTTAACTGGAATCTTTAAAGGTCATTTCCATAATACATCGCTGCAGGCCTTTATCAATTCTTTTAACTATGCTGGACCTAAACACGTTTCTCTCTTCAATGAACTTCTCAAAGAGGTAGATACCACCACCAACCCCAAAATAATGTACTTTGCTGGCCAGATACACACGGCCATTTTTATCCAAGAGCTGAGCCAGTGTATCATGCAAAGCACTGTAGTAGTCAGGATTATAGATGGTCTCAGATGTGAGAATTAGATCATACTTTGAAAAGGGTTTGTTGCTGTTTAACAGGAGCTGGCTGACCTCAGACCACTCTCCAGAAAAAAATCTGCACTTGGTGAGTGCATCAGGTGTGCACTTGGCTTTCCTGGGCCTCTTTGGAGGAGGTTTGCCAGTTTTCCTGTTGTCTCCACAGCCCATCCCACTGCCTTCACTTACACAGTTGGCCACTGCAGTAGGCAAGGTTATTTCATCAATCACAGTGCTGTTGTAGTCCTGAAAATGAACTTCTGCAGCTTCACCTCTTAAAGCAACTATTCCCAGCAGTCCAGCCCCACAGCCAAGATCCAATACTGTTTTGTTGGTAAATAGTATTTCAGCCTCAGTAATGTAGTCTATGAGATCAAAGGTGCATTCCCAGATTTTCAGTCCTCCCTCATAGACTCCTGGGATGAGATCAGAGTGAGATGAAACACTTTGGGACACGATGTCTTCTCCATTGGCACCACCTGAATGTGTCATTTCCATTACAGACATGTTTATGTAATGCAGGTCTGATACAGTTTCTATAACTTTATTTTCCAATACTTTCTGGAGATCTTCAGGAACACTGTGCTCTTTGGCAGCTTTACAGCAGAACTTTTTCTTTGGTAGCATCTCATCCTGGTGCTTATCAGTACCTGGCCCCAGGCTGGGGTCTGCTGTGGTCTCAGCAGTCTGCTTGCCCTTTTCCATGGATTCCCACTCCTGTTTTGGAGAGCACAGCTGTGAGTCCAGTTCATCATGGGTGTCTGGTTCACTGGCCTCATTTTCATCAATGGCAAAATTAAATCGAAAATACATTTTCAGGGATAACAGCTTAACTTACTGCAGCCAGAAACACCCGTGTAAGGGCGATATTGATGTAAAGATTTTATCCTGGGGGTTTTTTTTTTGTTTGTTTGTTGTTGCTTCTTGGTTTGTTTTGCAGAGGGTGTTTTTATGTAGTCACCGCCACGGGGAAGAGGCAGTTGCAGGCAGAATATCTGATGTTTTGCCGATGAATCCGGTGAATTCCTTCTGGAAATAAAAAGACTTTTACATCTCGTTACACTGCCAGATATTAGCACAAACAACCCCCTCTAACTGTAGTTATTTTTCGTATTTAGTTTAGTATATTTTAGTAGCTTTAACTGTAGTCATTTTTAAAGTTTCCTAAACATTTAGAACCCTGAAACAACACTGTTACCAGCGACCGCGCTTTTCATACGGGGGAGGCGGGCGGAGGGAACGGGGGTGAGTTTTGGCGCCGGAAACAAAACTCACCGTTTCAAGCGGCGCGAACAGAACGCTCAGAGCGGCTGCGAAGGCCTGGCTCCCCTTCCCTGCATCCCGGTTGGGGCGCGGACGATCCCGGTTTTCCCGGCCCGTTCCCTCCCGCGGCCCCTCCCGCTGTCCCGGCAGCCCCTGCCGCACCCACCACCTGAATGTGTCATTTCCATTACAGACATGTTTATGTAATGCAGGTCTGATACAGTTTCTATAACTTTATTTTCCAATACTTTCTGGAGATCTTCAGGAACACTGTGCTCTTTGGCAGCTTTACAGCAGAACTTTTTCTTTGGTAGCATCTCATCCTGGTGCTTATCAGTACCTGGCCCCAGGCTGGGGTCTGCTGTGGTCTCAGCAGTCTGCTTGCCCTTTTCCATGGATTCCCACTCCTGTTTTGGAGAGCACAGCTGTGAGTCCAGTTCATCATGGGTGTCTGGTTCACTGGCCTCATTTTCATCAATGGCAAAATTAAATCGAAAATACATTTTCAGGGATAACAGCTTAACTTACTGCAGCCAGAAACACCCGTGTAAGGGCAGTATTGACATAAAGATTTTCTCCTGGGGGTTTTCTGTGGTTTTTTTTGTTTGTTGTTGCTTCTTGGTTTGTTTTGCAGAGGGTGTTTTTATGTAGCCACCGCCACGGGGAAGAGGCTGTTGCAGGCAGAATATCTGATGTTTTGCCGATGAATCCGGTGAATTCCTTCTGGAAATAAAAAGACTTTTACATCTCGTTACACTGCCAGATATTAGCACAAACAACCCCCTCTAACTGTAGTTATTTTTCGTATTTAGTTTAGTATATTTTAGTAGCTTTAACTGTAGTCATTTTTAAAGTTTCCTAAACATTTAGAACCCTGAAACAACACTGTTACCAGCGACCGCGCTTTTCATACGGGGGAGGCGGGCGGAGGGAACGGGGGTGAGTTTTGGCGCCGGAAACAAAACTCACCGTTTCAAGCGGCGCGAACAGAACGCTCAGAGCGGCTGCGAAGGCCTGGCTCCCCTTCCCTGCATCCCGGTTGGGGCGCGGACGATCCCGGTTTTCCCGGCCCGTTCCCTCCCGCGGCCCCTCCCGCTGTCCCGGCAGCAGCCCGGGGGGCGCCGGGACCCCGCCGGGAGCGGGGAGGGGAAACTTTCCCGCCTCCCGCTCCCCCTGAGGGGAGGGCGCCATGTCCCAGACCGACCCCGAGCTGCTCCTGCGGGAGCTGGGCAGCTGGGACTGGGATGCCTGCCGCCGGGAGATGCCTGCCGTCCTGCCCCGCCTCCTTATATCCTTTCACCGCGGTTTGGCTGTGGGGAGGCAGCCCGGGATGGCGGGGAGGGCCGGGGGGCGTCCCCACAGCCTCGCTCACCTCAGGCAGGTCAGTCTGTGGGGCAGGAGAGGGAAGCTGAGTGCCGGGTGTTTCACTGGAGATAAGCACAGCCCTTCCCTGCAATGAAAGGTCGCTGGTAGCAAGCAGCGTGTGGTCAATTCAGTGCTGCGGGTAACGCCGCAGCCGCCCCACAGAATCCTCGGGATTTACCCTCCCAAAACGTGGAAGTGCCGGTGCTGAGGTATCTCTGCACACTTTAAAGATAAGAGGTTGAGCTTCTTTAACGTTTTTACTCCATGTATGAAGAGTCGGAAGACTGGACTGAGCATGTTCGTAAGTAGCGACCGAGAAGTGCCTCTTCTTCATTCTGTTGCAATTGCCTTATAAATTCTGCACTACTTAAAAATAGTATAACTAGGGACTTTCACTGTCTTCAGCAGTCCTGCTGGACCTTGCATGTTACACTTATTGCATGTTGAATAAGCTGTATAAAACGTAAAGTTCTTAAGTGTGTAAGTTCAGGAGTCTTTGCTAACATTCACTGTTAAGTGGCATATTAATTGCCAGCCAGCAATTTAAATAGGCAGCTGTTTGAAGTATGTAAAATTCTAGTTCCCTGGGCATGATTATTGGTGGGTTAATGTGTGTTGCAGCTGGTTTTTGTTACTTGATTTTTCAGATTGTGCACATGTAGCAAATGTTATGTTGCCCCTCTCAAAATCAAATATCTGATCTGTTTCTGCTTGTTGCAGTTCTTTGTTTCTCTGATGGGTTACTGCACAGTTCTGATAATCACGTCTTGTTTTTCTGTAAGGTGTTATAATTTTTTTGCTTTGCAGGTGTTTTGAGGATCCTGACTGAAATGTTTTTGCCCCATATCAGCCTTACAGATTTAGAACAAGCTTTTTTCTCAAAAGTATTACCTAAGGTATGACAGCTTCAATTAAATGTGGAATTTTCAGTTATTCCAGTGCTAAAAACCTGCTTACAATGCAGTAATTCTTTTTTGAGGTCTCATATGATTATTGCTTTGGGTACAAAATAAAATTGCAATTTTACTCATTAAAAGTTTAGTGATTTTATGTTATTGGATTGTTTCTGTGATTGTTACCATTCTTTACAGTAGGGAGAGGATCACATATATTTTTATATTTAGAACACAGAATTGGTTTTTATTTCTTTTTGAGAAGATTGGATGTTTTATAAAATGACAGAGGTGGAGAATTTTTACATGAGGCAGCCTATAAGGACAAATAAACTGAAAAACCCAATACTGATATATCTGAAGAAACATTGTGATATTTGTGAATAAAACAGCAAAGAAACTTTTGTACCATACTGGCCTAACAGATGTTCTGGTTTTTTATTAAGTGATGGAGAATTTTGTGCTATGCTTGTAATTCTTCAATACCTACATTTTAACTGAAGTAAAGCAGTGCCAAATCACTGATTTAAGTTTCAGGCCTCAGTGTGTATGTTTTTAGAAGCCTGTAAAAATGGTTTCTTGCTTTCCATTGACCTTGTTTTGTCCTTTAGCAAATTCTGGAGATGACAAGAAAAATGACTCCTAACAGGCATATCCTGAACAAGGATTACTGTACCTTACCCGTTTATGTAGTGTCCTGGAAGCCACTGACTGTCTTTGCAGTCTCTGCTTTAATACTCATAATATGTCCAAGGACTTATTCCAAAGTAGAAATGATTGTTGTTTGTAGGTCACAGACTTTTTCCTTTCTGTATTCAAATTGTTAATGATCACTCTCAACAAAAAAACCACAATTTTTCTGAGACAAAATGAAAAATCTTTTAGTGTGGTTTAATAAAGTAAAAAAAAATATCTTTGGTAGAATAAGGTAAATATTTCAAGTGAGTTAGCTAGGAAATTTTGTTTTACTGGCAGATTTTATAAAAAGCAACAGCTGCTGTAGCTTCTGTATATAATATGGGAATACCATGAGATGGTTTTTGCTTCTTGGTGTATCATGCTTTATGATTCAAATGCTAGAAAGCATTATTTTCTCCTGCAAGTTATCTTAGTAGCCCAGGACTTGGTTGCAAGGAAACGGGCAGATACAGGAGGGTGTTACTATTTGGGTGTGTATACTTATAAACAAAATGTTTTCTTTTGTTCTGACAGACTCTACAGTTATTTGATAATTTGATGTATGAATTATCCAGTGAGGCCAAAGGATTAACCAGCCAGAATACAGGGTTATGTAGCACTGTGAGGAATCTTTTACAGGCAAGTCCCATGAAATCAGTTGTCAAAGAAATACTTGCATTATTCCTTGATTTTACCTAAGCAACTAAGAGGTTTTTAGAATGTTTTTGTTAGCTACTAACCAGCTGGTTAAAATTTAATTTGAACTTCCTTTGAAGTTCAATTAAAAGTTTGTGAGTGGTTTGATTACATTTAGTATGTAATGCTAAGCAGAATTAAAAAAACTCTCAAATTCTCTAACATAGATGGAATGCAATTCTCCATATTTAAAGAGTTCATCTGGCACCTGTTTATACACTTACTTAATTCAGAGTTTTACATTTTATTTTTAATTGGAGAACACTAATCAAAAGCAATATGAAACTTCCAAAGAGAACCTGGTATCAGAGAAAAGGTCTGGCCTTGCTTGATACTGTTTTGTGGAGCTTCATTCATGCTTAACAAACTACTTACTTATTCAAATAGCAGTGAACTTTTAAATGCCATAAAAATATAGGTCCAATTCAGCTAAGAAAACATGCTTTTTAAATTACTTCAGGTGTGGAAAAAAAAATTTACTGCTGTTTATTCTTGCTTTCAGACTGTGGTGCAGCTGTTGGAGGCTCTGACAGGTTGTGTTCAGTTTGTCTGCACCCTGCAGGAGTGTGTCCCTCTGGAGAGTATCCGCACCCTCCCAACCTCTGTCCTTTATGTCATAAAGAACACATTTACACACTGCAAGGTAGGTCAGCATTAGAGGAGGAAAATTCTTACACAGGTTGGCTTTTAGGAAACACTCACTTGTGTAAGAAGATCCTATTTTGAAATGATATTGTGGTTGAATTCTTATTTAACTTAAATTTAGTTGTTAAATACTTCAGAGAATGTACTTAATGCCACAAGTAAAAGATGATTTTTCTCTGTTTGCTGAGCAAATCTGATCTGATAGTGCAAGGCATAGACTGTGCTGCTTCCATATTTGGCATTCAATGTCAATTGAACGTTTTGTTTATGATTATGAGCTTTCAGTGAAATCTGTGGACTTCAGATAACTGGTATTTTCAGAGCTACAAATAATAACCAAAATGTTGCTACTTACCTTGTCTATATGCAAGTTCTAAAGTGGATTGAGAGTTGCTATTAGGGTCTTTATGTTGGTTATGATGAGTAACATGCTCCAGTTTCAGATGCAACAGCAATTCCCTCTACAGCAATAAAATAAAACAAGGTTATCATAAGGACAGAATGGCTTTTGGTTGGCCTTCACTTTTATTTTTCAATTTTTCTTTCTTATGGGAACATTTGCATCAGTTTTACAGGTCAGGACTTGAATTCAGATGCCATTCCTGTATTTAACAATTCTGCTTTGAAAGTATTGGGCAGTATTTGGAATGTTACATCCTTGGTTGCTAATCTTGTACTGTTTTGTTCAGAAATAAGATCATTCATCCAGGCCTAATCCGAAGCCCACTGAACTCATTAGAGCCAGGCAGACTTCATCAGTTGTTGATAGAGCTGCAGGTGAACAGCATTTTTGCTGATTGATATTTAGTGAACAAGGGCTGTTACGAGAAGCTACAGCTCTGGCTGTATATTGAGTTAAGAGTAGGCAGGTCTATGCTGTGTTCTTTTTTTTTTTTTTTTTTTTTCCGGTGAAAAGTATGACAAAGCTCTTGGTGTGTGAAAAATCAGGCTGTGACTCCTCAACTTTTTTTTTTTAACCTTCTCTTCCCTGTTTCCTACAGGACAGTGAATCAGTGTACTGTGGGCATCTGCACTTGATTTCTGACCTCCTACAAGCTATGTTCAAGGAAACTTACTCTCTTCAGAAACAGCTGATGGAACTACTTGATATGATTTCCTTGGACTCTGCTTCTACTGAAGAGAACATCACAGACATGGTAGCAGGTATTTGTGGATCTAACTCTTTTAGTCTTTTTCAGTTTTTTTTTCTCTTGTAGAGATGATGT